CTCAAACAAATGCGGGACAGTAAGGCATCTGTCAGTAAACAGAGGGAGGGAGGCCGCAGAGGTTCTTGCTGCTGCTGCCGTCACCTGACGTCAGGACGGAGCTGGGATCAGCCAGTCGTCTTCACTACTGCCAATACCTGAATAATTCAGTTTGAGTGGTACAGACACGTTGAAAGACAAAGCAGCCAAACAGAAACTTTGCTCCAACAAAATACCTTCTAAACTCTGACTTCCTGATCTGATCTAAACCTGGATCAAAGAGCAGATTTCTTTATTTGCAGCAAACTTTCGATACTTAACAGCTACTGGAAACTTTAATACGGAGCCATAATCAGGATCCAGGTGTTTCTTCTGTAACATTTGTCCTTTGTTTCATACTGAGTCTCATGCTGTGACCTTTGACCCCGCAGCTCTTTCTACTGGATTGTAAAGTTAATGAATAAATATGGTCCAGCTGCCTCCCTCCCTCTCTCTCCGGATGAGTCAGCAGTCGTACTATAGAAGTTAACCCAATGAATGAACCAGCAGCTCTGCTCCAGGAGGTCAGCTCCTCGTTCTGAGTGAAAACTTCCCACGCTTTCCGTCCCTCCCTCCGTCTCTGACCTCGAGGTCGACGGCGTAGGGAGGGACGAGTGTGTCGAAACGCTGAAAACCTCGAAACAACCACAAAGGTTGAGCGGCAGCCAGCGGCTCTGCCCTGCTGCTTCCCCAGAATAACTCGCTGCTGCCGGACAGCACTGCACGAGACTTATATACAACGTTCAGAATAACAAGGCGTACATAACAACAACACACACAATGAGTAAACTTTAACCCACAAGAGTATTTAGAGATAAGGTGCTTGATTTAAATGAGACTACATGTGATGTTTCACTTCCAGGGCAAAATATTCCATTTAAGTGTTAAATAATTTACAATATATAAGCCTAGTATATTTATTCTAAATATTCAGTATGTCCTGATCTTAAAGCTCCTCCAGTGTAAAGGTCTGTGTCCATGTGTAGTGTGATTATAGATCAGCTCTAGCTTCTATATTAATACTGTGAAAGTATCAAAGCCTCAGTCCACAGAGAAATGCACACAGCCTGTATTCAGAAACTGAGCCTTAAAACCAGCCGTCAGGACTTCTGGAACTTTGTGATGTCACAACAAAGCAGTCACCAAGCCCCGCCCACCTGGACCCACCATCCAAACCTTTACAGGATTTGGTTTCTCTGAGTGTTTTTACCTGAAATCTGCTATATTTTTATTGGCTCACTCAGAAAACAGTCAGCCAATCAGAAAAGAGGTCATCATCCAAAGAGGTCAAAGGTCATCAGACAGGAACAGTTTAACGTCTTAATAAAATGGTTAAATCTGGAGAAACTGTACTGACAGAAATGACGGAGAGAACTTTGAACATAAGACACAAGCTGATGAAAGTGGATTCAAAGCTGCAGCCAGAAAGAAAAACAGCTGATCAACACGTCAGGTAGAAAGTTCCCGTGTGAAACGAGTGTTCGATGTCACAGCTTTGATGCTGAGCGTCTTTGTGATTCACAGTTTTGAACATTTTTGGGTGTGAGCGTGTTCGCATCAAGTCATTAGACCTGAATGGCATGAAACCTGAGAGGAGGAACCGGGAGAACGGCCAGTGGCTTACGACACATCACAGTCATTACAGGAAGATCCACCTTAAAGCAAATATCCACCTTAAATCTGCTGAGCATCAAACACACTGGTGATCCAGATTCTGGGAGATAACACTGATTCAGCCCATAAATATAATGTATGTACATATATTGAATTCAAACATATATGTTAAACTGTATATATATATATTATATCATATAATATATAAATGAATCGCAGATATAGGAGCCATATTGTTTTTGGGTTGTACCTCTGTCCATATGTCTCATTCTCTTGGACACGATATCTCAGTAACACCTTGATGGAATTTCTTCAATTTTGGCACAAACATTCACCTGGACTCAAGGATGAAGTGATTACATTTTGGGGGCTAAAGGTCAAAAGTCGAGGTCATGGTGACCTCACAAAATGCAATTTTGGCTTTGTGAACACAATATTTTTGTGAGGCCTCAATGGAACCATTTGCAAGGACTCAAGGATGAACTGATTAGATTTTCGTGGTCAAAGGTCAAGATCAGTATGACCTGACAAAACACAAGATTTCACACAAGTGGTTAATATTTTATCTGATTCTGGCTAAACTGGGATGTAACCTCCAACTAGTCTGAGTGGAGGAGGAATTTATTCTCATTAATATGTACATATACAAATTTTACTTTGGGTATTTCATATATGTTATAAACTTATATCTTCATATATCCAGAGGATGTATATATGTGATAGTGATATATCCCCTTATAGGTGACATATATGCTGATTCTTAGTCGCAGCACAAATAAGCCGAGAGCCCTCACAACACGGAGCTGGAATCATGCAACATCACCAACACCGTAGACACGTCAAGCTAGCCAGCAGCTAGCTCGTTAGCAAAAAATGTGTGCATAAAAAATACATATCTAAATAAATTGCAAATTTGTTTTAATGACATCCTCTCTGTTGGTTTTATTCTCATGACGGGAAACGTTCCTTGTAAAAACAGAAAGAAAGTGTCAAAATAACATGAGAAATATCTAGAATAAAACCAAGAAAAGTTTCTTGTTGTAACAGACGAAGGATCTCAGAGTCGACAGCACTGAACCTCTCCACACATTCATCCTAAAGACGGAACTTCCTCTTCAGCTGCATCTCTTCTTTGTTGGTTTTTGGCGATGTATTTAAACTTTCTTACCTGTCTGTGATATTTTACAGGATATTGATGTTTGTCATTGCGATTTTATCTGTTTCAGGCTCATTTACTGGTTCAAACTTTAACATGTGTAGTTTGTGTCCTTCAGTGTTTTACAGAGGGGAAAGTTTTTATGCAACATTTTCACCTTTAAACCCTAAAAACAGAGAGAAAACAGCCATATTGAGATTGTAATATTTCTGTTCTTTAGGTTTACATCCACCGGACCTGAGACCTGGTGATGATCAGGTGCTTGTGTGTTTCGGGTGCAGGAGTCCGTCTGATCGTCACCACAGCAGAGGGGAGGTGGGGGCAGGGCTGGTGGTTGGTTGGGGTGAGGATGGTGAGGAGGGAGGGGGACGGGGGGCGGGGTTTTGGGGAGGGGGAGTGTTTTGTCTCTCTTTCAGTGACAGCAGTCCAATAATCTATTCATGGGGCTCCTCCAGGGAAAAGAGCCCAGCTGCTCTAATTTGAGAATAAAGAGGAGGCCACCTTTGTTCTGTCGCTCAGGCTCTATTTCATGAAGAAACATCAACCACCGCAACCACCTCCCCCCGCCCTCCCTCTCTCCTCCCCCCTCCAACACCTCCTTTCATTCCTCCACTCCCCACGTTTCGTACATTCACATATTTCTCTCTAGATTTACACAATCTTCTGTCACGATCTCCTGTTTTCTATCACACAATTTCTTTTTAAATACATATCACATGATGTAATATCATCATATGTCGTGGCATCATCCTCCACATGTTCAGTCATCACTCCTTTCTGTTCCCTTTACTAGAAATGAAACATAGAAGAAGAATTAAATATTTAAAAATTCTGCATCTGTGCATCAAACATGATCCTTCTGAACAGGACTATGATGTTTGCACCTCATCATGTTTGTGTGATTTTTATTTATTGTTATTCTGCTGCTGCTTCGCCAGATAACAGATTAATTACAGTTAATATGGAAACTAACGAACTGGTTAGAATAAAAACCAGAATGTTGAAATCCAGAATGAGAAACGTAGAAATTAAATGTTAAATGTGATAAATAAAAAATAAAGAGTGTGTATTGAAGTGATGTTGAAGATTAACCGAGATGATGATGATGATGATGATGATGATTGCAGTTGGGGTGGTGATGAAGGTGTTGGAAGTGATGTGACATCATCAGGTGGTTATTTTGACAGTTAGTGCAGAAACACTTGTTACGCCACAGAGGGCTTTTATTTTGAAAGTTGCACATTGCATACAGAGCACCGGAATAATTTAATTATTCAAGGGGTGTCCGAATACTTTTGACCATAAAGTGTAGACACATAGGTTACAATGGGACATAAATGTAAAACACAAGACAGAAATAAACAATTTAATAAATAAAATTATAAAACTAATGAACCGACAAGATATTTACTAAATTACCAGAAACAAAAAGCTTTTTAAAAAACAATCAATGAACCAAAAAACTAAATAAAGAAATACATTTAAAATAGAATAACATAAAATAAAATAATATCTTTTAAATATATATTATGTTATTTTATTTTTAAATTCTATTTTATTTTTAAATTAGTTTTCATGTAGTTTTTATAATATAGCCTACAATATTCTTTCATATACATATATTATATAATTTTTTTGTAATTTTATTTTATTTTTTATTTATTTTGGTTTGTGAAATGGTTTTTAAAGAGCTCACAAAGCCCTCCCAACAGTAACCACAAAGATACATCTATATATCTATTTATCTATATATCTATATTTATATGTGTGTTTGATTATCTTTTAAAAACATATTATCTTTCAGGACTTCAGGCGCTCTGTACATTTTGGAATTTGTGCCTTAATTTAAAAAAAAGTGGAATTTTGACATTTCCGAGCCACCGTACCTGAAGCAGCATGACAGCGACATTAAGACAAAAATGTTTGAATGTTGATTTAAGGTCTTTAACTTCTTCTTCGTCTGATTGTATAATTATCACCCAGGCGTTAAACTCCTGTCAGTTTGGGGGTTGTTGTTGGCCGCCATGTGTGAAGGCACTTCTCCACTTCCATGTGAACTGACTGTAAACAAACCGCTGCTCATTAATATTAACCAGTGGGCGCGGTTTGGGGGTCTAGGCCCCTCCCCCCGCTGGTGGATATTACCCAGCCTCCTCCGAGGGCCGCTCAAAGTGCTGTCCGGGCTCCCGCTGCCGTCAGTCGGGCTGCAGAGTGCGTGTCGTGGGGGCGGCTGTGAGAGAAAAGCAGGACAATAGCAGACAAAGGTTTTGGGTGCGGGACGGTGTTCACTGTCGGGACTGTGTGGAGGTTTGTTTTGTGGAGAAAAGCCGCAGCTGTGTCTCCGCCCGTGCATGTCCCAGCCGGAGGAGGGGTATTAACCTGGAGCGGAGGGTCGCACCGACTATCACTGAGCACCGAGAGCCGCCTGGCTGCAGCCCACTGCCGGCATGACCCTCACACGGAGCTCCGTCCTCCTCAGCATCCAGCTTCTCGTGCTCTGTGCGCGGATCCAGGTACACCAGACTCCCGCTGGTTTTTGGCTTGTTTTAGGTTTGTGTTAAACAGCAGCCAGATGTTCCTGTGAAGAAACATGTGACAGATGTTCGTCTCCTGTTCTGGATAAAAATTATATTGATTTAACAGAATTCTTCTTAAATCAGAGATTACTCCACGTTTCCACAAAGTTTGCCAAAAGTTGTTCTGTCATGTCGTAAAAGTGACATTAAACCTTTAATTCAGAATCAGACTTTATTTGACAGTATATTTATATATATAAATATATATATCTATATATATATTAAGTATGCATAT